GCGATAAAGTTAAAATGTTTCCGTATTTAGTTTCGGTTGTTTATTTTTCATTAATATTATCATTTTTTTTTTTTATATATATATATACGCATAATGAATAGAGAAAAAAATGATATCGCGGCGAATTTTTAAGAAAGAAAAAAAAACAATCGGGATAAAAATATAAAAATTTATTATTAAACGTTTTGGCGATTGCGTACAGAATATAGGTTCGTAGAGCTATTCTCGGCATTTTCATAAGCGAGTACCGCCTACAAATTTTAAACATTTGCACGTACCATTTTGCTTATCAACAAGTACATACGTGCTAATAATATATAAATACATTATAAATGTCTAGCATAGGAGCTTTAATACGAAAACATGAGTTTTTATTGCACAATCAGTAAAATCGAACATGTAATTTATATTTACATACCCACGGACTACAATTATATTATTATTGTTAATACGGTTTAAAGACTTAAATGAGACTTTTGGTGTTGTTTTCAGTGAACAAGAGAGGACGTAAATACCGAGTTTCATAATCATTTTCCAAGTTCAACTATAGATTCGGAGCGTACCGAGGAACGTATTGGTTCTACAATTATGTGTATTTTTTTTCCATGAACAACTTTTCTATTACAAATCTTGCTCTGATTTTCAATTGTAACACCTTTTATGAAAGGAAATTTTATCTGGGTGGTCGTTTTTTGATTTTCCAAGTGGTTTTCATAAAAATTTAGAAAAACGGGAACATTTACGTGCATGTATAAAAGGAACTTCGCTCCGAATCGTTTTTCGTTAGCAACGATCTATCGTTACGTCCGAAGTTACACACAAATTCCCTTCCATATCCTTAAACCTTCTCAACTTCTCACCCACAGCAGTGGCCCATCCATCGTGCGAATTACGTCCGTATTTTTTTATTTTATTTTTTTTTTTTTTTTTTTTTTTTTTTAAAGCGGGATTTCCTCCTTGTACCGTGTACAACTATAATATAGTGATACGTGTACCGCCTGTTTAGATAACAATAAAATATTGAGTTTGTTTTTTTTTTCTCATCGAATTCGAAAGATAGCCACCCCTCACACACACACACACACACACACGCACGCACCTTCCCCCTACCTTCCGTATTGCGATAATTGTGCACGGGTCTGCGTATCTGCGTTCGTTCAAAAGCTATACATTATTGTATAACGGTGTTGCGCGTCGCCGTCGTTGTTCGCCAAGTATCGATGTTTGAACACGGTTTTAAATTTTCGAACGGCGTCACGCGAGCATTGCGGGAAATTCGAAAAACTACGCGCCGAAATGATTGTTACGATCGGTACGGGTGCGCGTAATTATATACTCGCAATAGCGTAATACACGTGTACACGGGTCGCGGTTCGTGTCGAGGTGACACAGTGTAATAATAATAAAAATACGTAGTAATAATAATAATAATAATAACAATAATAATAATAATAATATCATACACTTATCGTCCGATTCCGATCGCCGCGTTTACCGTGTCGGCGATCCGTTCCACCGGCGCACGCACACCGACCGTACGGCGTATCCGCTATCTCCCTGGCTGTCGGTGCGCGCGCATGTCGCGGAGTCGCGTTAAACAGGCTCGGCGGGCGCGGATAAAATAACGTCGGTTATCAGCTGCTGCTACCCGTCGTCCGCCCCGCGCCCGAAACGGCGCGCCAGACGAAGAAATGGGTTTAGCCGCATTACGGATTTGCCGCGCTGTGTGCGGGGCCATTGCGGACGGAACGCATGACGATGCGTACAAACGCGGCGCCGCGGCGGGGGACAATAATAACACACTACTATCTCGCGTGTCAAAACTCGATACGCTAAACGGTCGCACAATAACATATCGTCGTACAGATTGTTTTAAATAAACTTCGGATAGTGCGCTTTTGGAGGGTTTTAACGGCACGACGCGCCGGGCACGTTTCACGGTGTTGTTAAAATACCGTAGGAAAATGGAAAAAAAAAAAAATATTTAATATCTATAGGGCGCCTACGGCCGGTCGCGAGTCGCGGGGGTAAACCGCTGCCGCGGGCGTACGCAGTCGGGAGGGTATGGCGCGGGATACTATACGGGGTGATTTAGTACCGTTATGCAACGATCGATATTCGTTCGTCACGAACACTCGCCAAACATCAACAACGCGTTTTAGAAAAATACCGTCGAATCGAAACGAAGGAGTCGATTAGAGATTCTACGAGGAATGTTTTATGGACGTGCTCGGTGCGAACATTTTTAAACCGCGACGCCCAACATACTCGTACAATTCAGTATACCTGCCCTGCACATCCGGGGGTACGTTTACCCACCATCCCTCTCCCCTCCCTAGCTTTTAATATTTTTCTCTTTACCATATCGTGTGCACCGCGGTTCTAGACGCGGGCGGTACCGTCTCCCCAGCTACCCTCCCCCCCCCCCCCCCCCNCCCCCCCCGGCGGGAATTTCGGTCCCTCGAGGCGTTGGGCGGCGAGCTTTCGAACGCGGAACGATGGAAAAATAACAAAGCGCCGGCGTCCAGCGGACACATACTATCGCGCGTGAAATCGCAACAGTTGTGTACAGGACCGCGACGCCCGTGGGCGCCATAAAAACCCTTTCACCGCGCCACTGGACGTGCAGCTCCAGAAGGTGTCACAGAAACCAGGGTCACACCAAACGTTTTGCTCTTGGACGCACGGAGTAATAATTGTCACCAGTCCCCCTCCCTTTCCCCCCCCCGATACTTTTCGATTGGCCCACGTGCGGTATTGTACGTGCACGTCGAAAACGGGGCGGGGGTTCAAAAACCCCCCGCGGAAAGCGCTTTTGACCCCGCCGCTGGCGTTTATAATAACGAAAAATACGGTGCGCGCGCGACGTCCGCAGTTTATTCTTTTATACGCGTGTTTTTTTTTTTCCCCCCCGGTGGTTATACGACTCTGCCCGGATCGCTCGCCGTCGAACCGCGGGGTGAAAAGCATTTTCCGATATTTTTTTTTTGATTTCTTTTTTTTTTTTTCAATCTCCGCCGTCGGGTGTTTTTAAACAAACGATATTATTACACAGGCGAATCCGTTACACGCGGAATCGCTGCGGCGCGTACATTATTATTGTTATTGTAATCGACGATTGTTGTCGGAGTTACGATGGCCCGTTCGTATCTCCTCGACTCGACCGCCCGGCCGTGAAAATAATAACGATAATAATTCACGCGGCATATTTATCGGGTGACCGCAACCGTCGCCGGCCTATAATCATAACCGGTGAAATCTCATCGGCGTCATTCGGCGGAATTCGGCTCGGTCCGCGATTATTACCCGACAGTCGTATTTCCCGGCCCCGGCGCCGCGGTATTGTCCCGCGCCGCGGTATCCGTTACTGCGCGACAATGTTGCGGCCGAGTATCGCCGCCGCGACGGTAACGGGCGCTCGGGACCGAGTGTGTGAATATACCGGTGCCACGTCGCGTACCGTAATACCAACGGCAACAATACTGCGAACTCGTTGACTACCCGCCCGCAGCAACAGGCGATTCCTCCGCGTGTCGTGCCCGTCGTATTTGTGTTCGGGGGG